CTTTCACAAGGTCTACAAACAGAAATTCAAAAGGTTCTTTGGATAAGGAGAGAGAAGGTCCAAAGGGGTTAGGAACCCCTCTTTTTAGCTGGAATCACAACCTTATTTGAGGTCTTATTTAGACTTCCAAATTACACAAGATCTACTTAATTTACAAATAAAATTTAGATCAAAATGAGAGACAGAAGGAATCCAAGGTTCTTGAAAATGACTCTCCTTAAACCAATGTAAGCCATGGATTAAAGGGAATGTTTTCAAGAGATGGGTACTTTTGGCTAAGTACCTCGTCAGTGACGTCTGTTCCCAAGTGGCCTGTGACTCAGAGGCTGAAGTGGAGCTCCCTAGAGGAGAGCTGTCTGGTGGCGAGCTACCTAGTGGTGAACTGCTTGGTGGTGAGCTACCTGGTGCCGAAATACCTGGTGGTGAACTACTTTGATGAGCTGTTTGGTGGTGAGTTACCTAGAGGCAAACTTCCTTGTGGTGAGCTACCTTGATGAACTACTTGGTGGTGAGCTAGCTTGATGAGCTACTTGGTGGTGAGCCACCTGGTGGCGAACTGCCTTGTGGTGAGCTACATGGTGGTGAGCCACCTGGTGTTGAACTGCCTGGGAAGTGTCGAGCTGCCTATGAGGTGTCGGGCAGGTGCCGAACTGACTAGGTGCCGGGCAGGTGCCGAACTGACCAGGTGCCGAGCTGGGCAGGTTAGGTGACAAGCTTTCTTGCTCTTTAGAGTCCTGCAAGGAACCAAATGCCAAAGGACCCGGGGTGGCTAACCCGGCAAGGTCCCTCCGATGCTTAAGTCAATACTCTCATAGTAGATTGTGAGCTAAAAATCATAAAGTATGAGAGCCAGAATATGCTTACTTGCTTACTTGCTCTCCCCTTGCCCTTGGGGTTGATGCCTTTATATAGGCATTGTTTGGCGTGGGCTTCACGCACCATATCCGAGATTTCTGTGAGGTCGTTTAAGTGGTTCGAGATTCCTGGAGGTAACCGCCATGCACGTTGACCACCCTCCAGATTATTCGGCACCTGGGCCAACTTCTAAAGATTGTGAGAGTGTTAGGATATGCATGCCGAATTCGTTGGTGAGCATGTCTTGTAAGTCGCCAGGTTGGTGCCTGGGCCAGGTTGCTAGCTTGTGCTTGTGCCAGGTCACACCTGTGCCAGGTCGCGCCTGTGCCAGGTCGTGCCTGTGCCAGGTTGCGCCTGTGCCAGGTCGCCAGGTCGCACCTGTGCTAGGTTGCCAGGTTGTGCCTGTGCCAGGCTGCCAGGTGGGACACCATCAATTTGGCTAAGGCAAGTTGTTGCCAAAGTGGTTTCGGGCATCACCTAGTTGTTCTAAGGTGCCATGTGTCACAATATCATTGGAGGGCCAAATTTGCCCTCATCAGGTACTGAATTCCCAAATCCCTCACCTCCTTCTTTTAGCACCATGGTTATCTAGTGCATTGAAATAAAATGTTTTTATTTTAATGTTCAAACAATGGAATTAGGTTATGAAATTTGATGTGCTGGGTTTTTTGGGTTAATGGTGAGGTCCGATTAGTCAAATACAGTCTCTATAATGGAGATCTATGGCTTTCAAGCTTTGATGGTAGGTTAAATGAGCTAATTTGGGTTAAAATATGGTGGATAGGCATTTTTGAGTGTTTAAAATTTTATAAAAGAAAAAGATCTTTGATTAGAGGTGAGGATTGAGACATTTGGTTCTGATTAAAGTTTTGGCTTCTAGCTTTTCAACGAGAGGGCTCAAAATAGAATCTTGCTTATTTTATAAGGAAATGAAAGAAGTTGAGATCAATTGGATAGATCATTTTGTGGTTTTTGAACTTGATAAGAGGGGTGTGGTCATTTAGACTTTAAAGTTTAGTGTGATTTAATTGTAACCATTGGATTAGAATATTTGACAATCAAATGGTTAAACAAAAGAAATTTGAGCAAAAATTTGCATTACAAGCATAATCTAAGATGCTGAATTAGGTGGAAGGTTGCTTTAGCAGAGAATGGGTTAATCTTGTTGTCTTGGTTTTATTCATCTAACGTCGTTAGAATAAAATCTTGGCAATTTTTATGGTTCATTGTTAGAGTTTTGTGATGTGATATTTTGATTTGGTGTATTGTATCTTAGTGTTTTTTATGTGGTGTATGTGTTGGCTCTGGTTTTTTAAAGCCAACTTGTGAATATTGCATTCGGGGCCATGAAAAGGAAATTTAGTATGATGTACAATGGATCTTAGGAGTTTGGTCTCTAATTGTTAATTTCATTGTTTTTGGTTGATTGGGATTGCTTAAGGGAAATTAGATGGTTGTTCAAGGGGGTTCTGGGATGGATCGATTCGTAATATGTGTGTGTAGTTTTAGATTTAGGTCTTTCATCATTTATCCTAAAAAGATTATTTCTTTTGGTTTTGAAGATGGATTCATGGAAATCAAGTGAATGCTTGGATCCTAGGATTTTTTGTTGCTGTAAATTTATTGGTGTGTATTTGATAAAGAGTGTCAAAAACAACAATTGGAATTAGGTGATGACATTTAGTAAATGGTTAAAACTAGTCAAATTGAAAGGTTATATGATTCACACCATGTAATTTACAAGCGCCTATTTCCATTTGGCTCATGGAACATGCACTTTGAATTGGAATCAAAATGGCCCATTTGGATTTCAACCTTTTGGTTAATCGAAATGGTTATCTCATTCCTATTCTAGGCAGAATGGGATTCCCCAGAGGAATGGCCATTCCCACCCCCATGGGAATACGGTTCCCATTCCCATTCTAAGTATCTCCTTCAGACCTTCCTCAATACCTTCCCTCATCCAATGCGCTAATCGACCCAAGTCCTAAGCATCTCTTTTAGACCTTTCTCAATACCTTCCTCCGTCTAAGTACACATCGTTGATCACCATTTCTTCCTCCCCTCCTTCTTCACCCCCNCCCCCCCAACGGTGTCGCTGCTAATACCACTAACAGTCGATATTAGCTCAGACAAAAAGAAATTTCGCTTTCTTTTTCATGGGGCAAAACAGAAATTTTTGGTTGATTCCAATTCTAGTACATAGTGAAAATAGGGTAAAATGCTTAAACCTCCTCTAGTATTTCTTGAAAATACTGATAGCCCATCCCCTTTCCCTTAACCCCCCCAACCCCTGGTGGCAGCAGGATTTGATCCCAGGTCTCTACTCTGACAAGTCAGAGAACCTACCAACTGAGCCACTATCAGTTGGCAAATTGGACTAAACCATCCCCTGCCAAAATTATGTCTAATAGAGAGAATCACCAAAAAGTCCCTTTTATCCTTGCTAAATCTTCAAATTTTTAAAATAGTGTCATCCAACCACTTGAGTGATGCATTCATGCAAGATAATAGAGAGATATTGTGCCCATTATTCACATTACTAAATGAGGCCCACTGCAAATGGATTTAGGATTTTTAAGATTATTAAATTCATCTAAAGTTTTTGAAGGTCTTACCTCTCCTGGGATTCCAATTTCTTTAACTATGCATCATCATGGCCTTGACAGAGATGAACAGCTACTATATCTCATTCTGTCTGTACGTATTGAGGAACTTTTAATGAAACAGAGTGCTGGTTTAGAAATTCAAAGTTAGAATTTATTGCCAAATGTATATAAGTAACCCATCAAAATTTATCTTCTGTAAATTGTACCTGAAATCAAGCTTCAAATTTTTGATATGATATACTTCGTATCAGGCATATCGTATCAATTTACACCCCTATAGGGATCGCATCGGAGTGTGGCCTGTTTTAAGGGGTAGATCAGCCTTAGACCGACCCTTCTAAACCAGTTTTTTTAAAAAAAGGTACAATAAACTTTGATACAGGCCGATACACTTCTACTGACATATGGTTTGTATCAATATTTTAAACCTTACGAGAAATGAAATAAAAAAATATTAACGAATTCTAAAAAAAAATAGTGACAGGTCTTGCCTAACAACACCAAGAACTAAAATCTTAAAAGAATAACTGTTATTGAGCTATTTCAACTCCTTGTTATCCAGATATCTCTAATATACATGGGACGTCATTTCAGTCATTAGACATGGCCAAAGGATTTTAAAGGGGTAAAGTTGGGATTTAAAAAAATTAATGTCACATTCGTCCATATCTTAACAGATTGTTAAAAGGAGGGGAAATTTAAGTATTTACATAGAAAAAACAAAGGGAGGTCCGTCGGTCTTTTACCAGAAAAAAGAAAAGAAAAATAAAAACTTTGGCAGAAAGGGTGGACCCCACCAAAATTCAAAGCGCAAATCTAGAATATGGAGATGTGAATTCTAAAAAGCTGACGTCGTTTGACGGTTGACCACTAACTTGTTGTTATGTGACCCGGCGACCGGAAATGCCAGCTCTCCTCGAATCCATATCCCAACAACAACCCGACTGCGTTTCTATGACTGACAAACCAGAGCAGAGCCTTCATCTTTGACTGACGTCAACGTTGGGACAAACATCTCTGATCTCTCTCTCTGTAAACACGTGCAGCCAGTTGTGTCCACTGCATCTACATCACGTGGTAATCGACTAGTCCTTGATTTTGATCAGCCCCATGTTCAAAATTCAAATAACCGGATCGATCGAGATAATATGATACAATGGAATATGATAAATTTCTTGTTAGCTTCCTCCCTCGATTGCACGATGTGAATATGATACCATGGAATGATGGAATTACTTCCAACTTGATAGCTTGCAATGAAAAACCAACTTTCATAGTACAGATACAAATTTGATCTGATCTTGAACGGGTTATTGAATATGGACTTATCCATCCGCAGATAGAATTTAGAAAGAGAAAAGGATTAATTATTTGGATAAGATGAATCTATTAAAATTTTAAAGATAAAGATTATTTGGATTGCACTTGAAAAAAAAAAGGGTTCTTATGTATATATAACTAATTAAACCCAGTTTTTTTTTTTTCTACACAATTATAACAGATTCAAAATTTTCAAATTAAAACATGACAGTTTCTTCACAAGCCTTTCTTGCCTTTGATCTTGAGCTTTGTCTTTGAGCTTGAAGGAGGTTTTGTGAGTGCTACATGAAACTGTTCTGGTTTCTGACTCTTTTGGGTACCTTTCGGTTGCGACTTTTTCCTTCTCTTCATGCCAAACGAAGGCGAAAGCTTCCTTCTTTCGGATTCTCTTATGGTCTCGAGCTTCGGTTTCCATTGCCGACACCCAACAAGGTGCGTGTAATCCTTCTGCAACTGAGGCGTAGTACAAACTTTACTCTTGGATTTACTTGAACTCTGCTCTTGCTCTTGGTCTTCTATCTTCCCCTCCAGCATGAGCTTCGATATGAACTCATCCGACACGCGTATCTGAAGAGAACCAGATGGAGTTTTGTGTATGTCAAACGGTTGGCATCTAGCTGCTGCCTTCTTCAGGAACTCATTGTTGGAATTTCTCGATGAAGACGACGACGACTGCTGAGATGGAGAGGAAGCAAATGAGGCGATGGTGACGAATGATAGCACCGATTGAAAGAAATGTTTTGGGAGGAGGAAGTACTTGTGGCCAAGCTTGAGTTCGTCGTTCTCGGAGAGAGCTGGAATCTTCTGGCCTATGTAGAATGAGTCGGAGTGGCAGACTAGGTGTCTGGGAAATTCAAGCATAAGCTCTGATACGTTGATGGGTCTGTGGTAAATCTTCACGAGGCCGTCTGATTTGATGAGCTTGATGGTCTCCAGTGGTGGTTCTGACTGCAGCTCTTGCACACAGGAGATGTGGTTCCCCATCAGATGGAAGCACCAGGGAATCATATGGAGGCTCAAGAACTTTATGCCCATGTTCTCATAATCTCATCGATAGATGACAAGAAGAAAAAGAGAGAGAGGTGTGTTGTAATAAAAGCCAATAAAGAGGAAGAGAAAACTCAAACCAAAGGAAAACTAAAACGATCGAGTACTATACGTACAAGAAGGTTTAATTGTTTTGGACAATCTGTTTTGGTTGTTCAAAGCAACTGTATATATGTGCGGAAGTGTGTTAGGAGGGGATTAGGAACGAACAAGTATATACAAGAAACCCAGATGGGCTGCGACTTGGGAAAGACAAAGAAGAAAGCCAGATGAGAGAAACAATTAAGGAAAAAGAAAAGGCGAAAGGAAAGAGAGTCAGAGGAGGCTATATAGGAAATGAGAGGTTTTCATTTCAGCCGATCGAGACTAGCAAGCTAGGAGGAGAGGAAAGATGGATTTGTGATGGTGGGCAAGATTAGTGGTCTTATTGGGTGGGTTTTCCTTTTCTATTCGAGCAAGCTAGGACTAGGAGAGATACGACTCGATGAGGTTGCTGGTTGACCACCACCACACAGAGGCCGGCCAGAGGCAGATAGATAGGAATAGTAGGATAGGACTACTTGAGGTTGAGGAGGAGCAGCGAGTAGCTAGGGGGAATGCATTTATGTATGTGACTATGTGAGTGTATATAAATATATTCCCTAAATTATCAAATTATCAATTAAAGTTGTTGCTGTTGTTGTTGAACTTGAAATATTGAATTAATATAGAACATATAATAAAATATAAAATGAATGGAATAAAGTAAGTAATTATTAGAATAAGCAAAAAGGATATTAAAGTAAGAGGTTTGAAATGGAATAATTATTTAAGGAGTACAAATACAAAGCAAGGCAAAGCAAAGATAAGATTGGTTTTTGCGAGGAGACTGGAGACTGGAGAGGCGTGAGACCCGGGGAAATTAAAGCTTATCTCTCTCTCTCTCTCTTCAAGGACAGCTCGAGGAGGTTTGACACTTTTGTTTGACTGAACCTCTTCTCTCTTTTGCCTGTGTAGCTAGCTATAGAACGAGCCAATGTAGCCGTGTAGACTAACTCGGACCACCAATCCAATCCAATCGAACTCTTTCTTCTGTGACGCCAACCATCAGATGAGGCTGATGAGGTCTGAGGCTGAGAATTTTAAAGCAGAAGCAGAATCATAACCACTTAACCAGAACCCACCCACCATTTCTTCATTGGGCTTGGGGTTGAGAAGGAGGTCTACGCTTCTCTTCTTTAGTCCCAAAAGATGGGTCCCCATCCACCAAATCCAGGTTAATTTCATGAGATAACATATGATATGATAATTGATAAGCTTATAGTCCGTGTTTCAAATTTGGAATGGAGGCCTTGGAGGGTGGTGGGGTGGGGTGGGAGTGTACTCACTACTCATCAGTCTCAGACTCTCAAGTCTGTCGTCTCCTTAAAGACTCAAATTAACGACCAACTATTATACACACGAATCGATGCACGTGGGTACATCACATTGATCAACTATTGATAATCATCATCATCATCATCATATAAGGTTAAATATAAACAAATTAGTTGCAGACACTGCATAGAGATCTTAAGATAGGTAGCTTAATTATAACTTTGGCTACTTGAGTGTGTTGGCTTTGTATTCATCAACTTCCTTCTCTGAGCTGTGGTCCAAATTAAAAGAGATTGTGGTCCAAACAGTTCCCCATGGTTGCAGCAAACAGTATCGATCAGTGAATAAGCAGAGATTCTCTTATTTATATATTAACTTTGAAGTTAACTAAAGCTAGAATTATGAGATCGATACGGGGTTTGAATATAAATTTAGATGTCATGTTTTATTTAAATGCGTTATTTCCTAGGCTTCAAGGTCTTGATCTGCAATTAAAGTAATTAAATAGATAATTTAACGTAGATTATTAGATTAGATTCCATGCATGAATGAAGGTTGATAATGGCTTCGCCAATCACCAACACAGATTAAACAAGTAGGTTATAATTAAAGTTAATTAGACAACAATATGTCTGGTCTGGTATCAACGAGGCATGAATACGTTAATACCGTTTGAATGTTTATTTATTATTTCAGAATAGCTTATAAATTCAACACTGCCCACCCACACCCGCCCCGGCCCCGGCCCCCGGGCCGCCAGAGACTCGAAGACTGATCCCTACTTCTTCCCTTTGGGCTTTCATGTTTCATGGATGGCATCGAGCTTCACACTAGCTATAATCTTTTAATTATATACCATACTTGCGTTGCGTAGGATAATTAATTAAAGATTTTCATCATCATCTCTAGTTCTTTACATTATTATATATGGGTACCCTGTCCTTTGAGGGTAAGGTACGTAGCGACAATCAGAGATCCTAAACTAAACTTATATATACTCGATCGAGTCCAAGTCCGATGGTTAATATTCCTCAAATTATTTTGAACACCTTATGTGATCGTGTGGACTTTGAAAATTTTTAAATAGCAGTGGCCGGATTCTTTCTTTGGCGTTGTAGTCCGATGGTTAATATTCCCCAATTCTCAGTATGTGTGTGTGTATTATCTGATTTTCTCTCTTCTTTTGCCCCTTCAACATGAAAATAACTATAGGCCGGCCCCGGCCCAATCTTATTCTATCCAGGGAAAAGTCGTTCGTGGTGGCATCAAGTTGATTAAATTTTCATCGAAATTAGTATTAGGGCTGTAAAACGGATCAGATGGGATTCAATAAAGAGTATCAAATATCCGATTCGATTTGATATATATATATATATATATATATATATATAACATATATAGAGAGAAAACATACATATATAATATCTCATAACTAATAAATCAGATCGGATCGTGGAAGATCGAATTTCATCCATTAAATAAAAGATAGGCTTTTTCGATTCAATCCAATTTATTAGGATCAAGGAAGGTTTCCGATTCCGGATTTTAATGGATGGATCTAATCCGACCTATTTACAACCCTGGTGCGTCAAGCAAAAAATTTTAGTAATTAATGCCTAAGCCTAATTAGGTTTGGCGAGACCCTTAACCCTATTCTAAGGGAGCGTTCTTTTTTTGGATTTTGAGATGGGGGAAAGTTGGTCAACGGGATTTTGGTTTCCATTGACCAAGAATCCCATGTTCTTTTTCAAATTTATGTGGGACTAGGGAAAGTTTATTCCTGGGTATCACTTGTTCGGTAAATAACTTTTCCACCTATCTCCTAGGTGGGTAAATAACTTTTCCACCTAGAGGGAAAATTGGCAACACTTGAATGGGACAAAAATACCCTTTTAATAATGGATTTTTAGGGCTAAAATGGTCATTGCCTTATTTACATGAGAAATAAAAGAATATGGGTAAATACACTTACCCGAATAAGTGTTTCCCAATAAAAACTTACCCAAATAACTGCACTTACCTGGATAAATAACTTACTGAAAAGCGAACGGGGCCTAAAATCTAACTAGGCAAGGAAAAAGAGACTACTGGTAATTGGGACTGGGGCTCCCATTGTTAACTTGCCACCTGTCCTAGGTTTTGGACATCAAAACCCACTATCAGATTCAGATGGATGTCAGGATGTTAGCTTGGAAGATTATTTACCCAAATAATGAGCATCTTAATTACAAACTAGTCAAGTCCCATGCAATGCACGCGTGCGTGTTGTTAAAAATAATTGTGATAGGAGCCTTAAGAGTTATGACAATATCAAAGGTGTTAGAAACAATCTCTGTATGTATAGGAGTAAGGTGAGCTGCATACATCTATCCCTCCCTAGGCTCCACATTGGCAGGATCTTCATGCATTGGGCTGCCCTAGCCTTATGACAATATCAATTGGGCCAAGTGGAACCAATTCCAATGCAAATTATTTTTGGGTTAGTTATTGTTAGAGAAAATTGTATTGATTTTAATGATTGATCTTAACCTTTGCTTTTTACATTTTATTAATTCTATTACTCTTAAATGCGACGCATAAGCTTTGTTAAGTGACATTTAGACAGGAATCTTAGGACATTTCTAATTGCCAAGCTGAACCATATCCATTTTAGCATTATTCTTGGGTTATGTATTGTCTAATAAAAAAAAAAACAAAATTCTAGAAGGTATTAGAAAGAGGGATACTTATTTTTGTATTAAATTAAATTAAAAAAAAATATTGAGTTTAATTAAAATTTTTATTAATTTGTATCAATTTTAATTAATAAAATAGTTTTTGCTAAATCTGTTAACATTTTTTTTTTGTTTTTTGATTATGTTATTTTTTATTAATTATTTCAATTTTATTTTTGAAATTATGAAATTAATTCTAATAATTTTATAATAAATTATTAAAATTAAGTTATTTCATTTATTTTAACTTATAATTTAGAAAAAAACATGAGTATGAGGTGGTAAGTTGAGAGTGTTAGGAATGAAATAAAAAAGAGATCATGTGACATAACCATGTTTATTTTAATATATACTAATAGATTAGAAAGAGAAAATAGAAAACTATAAACAATCTTCCACCCAGACCCAATTGAAAGAAGAGAGGGCCCACATCAACCAGCACTGACTTATTAGATCTACATGTATAATTATAAATGACGGTATAAGTGTATAACCCTTGAAATAAAAACCAGACCCAATCAGCGTACTAAAAAGTGCAGCTTTTCCAAACTTTTAGTACTCAGTTACTCACTCGACTCGGATTTTGGTTGTTGGTTGCTCCTACATAATTCCCTAATAATGAAAATAGTAATAATAATAATAATAATAGTCAGTAGAGGCGTCTAGTGGGGACAGTTTGGTCTCACATTATGCCTAGAAAATAAACCAAACGTGGGGGTTGTATTTGAATTTTCTTCCCAGTTTTGTCTTAAGGTGCAATGACATCAAGAAAAAAAAAAAGTATACAGAATTGAAATTTAAATATGAGAAATTTGCTTTTTGGTCACCGGAAGTACTTTAGATATTCTAAGCTTGCGAACAAAGTTGTACCCGTTTGACCTAATCACCCACGTGTTCACATAAAAAATGGGGAATAAG